CGTCCTATCCTCACTATTTCAATTACTTCTGAATATAATTCTATATAATATTTCCTTCAAAACTTTAATACTACTTATTTATTATATTTATAAAAATATTTGATCTTTGAACTTGTTTGAGGTGACGCGCGAAGCTTTGCTTGCACCATTGGTATATGAGAACTTGCCTGTCTGTTGTGCTCTAGCTTATGCATTTTGGTTCATCCAGTTTAATGAATTATTGACCTCTTTGATGGATTTAATACAAAACTCAGATTTATCCATGAAAGAAATTGGTAATCGGTTCTTTGCCGCCGGACAGTATGAAAAGGCTTCACATTATTATACGCTTGCCATTGAGAAGAGGCAGACGGAATCTTGCTATTTCTCCAATAGGGCCCTTTGTTTTCTTCAACTCCAAGAGTATGATAAAGCGATCGCTGATTGCAGGTACCATTTTAAAATTATTCATATGCCTGCATTGCAAGATCTTTTTGCTATATTTGCTCCATATATTGATTGTAATTCGTTATTTTTGTACACATCCTCCTCCAATTCTTCTATTATTTTTTTCATATGTTAATTTTATTGTTTGCTTTGCGGTGTAAGTTATATTATAGCAATACTTTAGAACATAAAGTACCAGCATCCTTTAAAGTCACCCTCTAAGTTTTAAGCTCCCTTATCCATAAGCCTTTTTAGCTGATTTTATCTGTTTAATTAGTTATTCGGAATTTCATATTTGCTTTTTTTGTCTGCCTTATTTTCTCACAGGCGTGCTTGGGAACTAAATCCATCTAATCTTAAGGCATATTTTTTCGCTGGTCAGGCCTATCTCGCTTTGGGGAATTTCGATGAAGCATTGCCTAAATTGACTCGAGCGCATAACCTTGCCTTGGAACAGCATATTAATTATGGTGATGAAATAACTGCTGTCATTAGATTGGCAAAGCGGAAGAAATTTGAAGCGCTGGATGACAAGAGAAGACAGGAGGAGATAGAACTTCAGGTATTGATGTTTTATGATATTAAAAAACTTTCGATTTGAAATTTCGCTTAATGCTAATTTTTCTCTCAGACTTATCTTACTAACATCATTCGAGCTGATTATGAATCTAAGTGTCAGGCGGTCAAAAGCCAACCTGAATCTCTCTTAAAAACCAGTGGTGTTGTGGAGAGCATCGATTTTCACGAGTATTCTTCCCGGACACATCATGAAGACATTGGAATATCATCATCAGAACCGAGGCTGCAAACCCCTGATAAGTCTTTTGGAGACCCAACTGATACGAAACATCTCAATAAATTGCAGGCAGAAATGCAGCGGAGGCTGGCGGAAGTTAACGATATTTTTACACAGGTTTGTTTTTGTTACCTACGTTTTGGCCCTATTCGTTTTATTGATTAAATGATTGGGTCTTAATAGTAACTCATACTCGGCGCCTATATATTTTAGTTATTGCACAATTTATGACCTACTTTTCTCGAAAAAATAAATTCCTAATTAATTTTTGCTTATTTACAATAGTGTTGAGTATCAGGGTTCTCGGACGTAATTCACATACCAGGTATCATAAGTTATGATCTAATTAATTATGGTTGTCATCACTAGTTAAAGTCGTTATATAGTACGGCTTTCAGAGAGGTTGATCCATATTTTATCTTATTTTTGCTGAGAAAATAAGTCTGATCTTGCTTCATTTAAACAGTCTGATAAAAGATACGCTTTGAAAATGTGTCGGTAGTTTTTTTCCTAGTATTCCATAAAACGGAGACCTTCAAAGCATATTCACATTTGAGTCTTTCGTCGTTTTTTCCACTTATAGTAATATTGAAATTAATCTTATTAAAGTAAAAAAAGTCTAAAAATATCTAGATTTGTAATTTTTTGCTATATGATAACCTATTTTATAGCTAATTTTATCGCATGCATAGGTTCTCATCAGACAAACTTTAAGCACCGTACTGCTATATTAAATCTTAATTACATATTTAGTTTGGTTTTGTGGGTTTTTGATTACATTTATATCTAAGGCGATTTTTTGTTAAAAAAAATATCTCGTATTTCAGTATTTAAATTTTATACATTCCCTC